GCTCCCTTCTGTTCTACCCCTCCTCAGATTGTCAGATATTCCAGCCCTGGAAACCTCAAGGCACCTCCTGCTTCATTTCTCCACTCATCCTTTCTAACACATCCTTCTGCCCAAGTTGGTCTCTTGTTTCAGTCAACCCTTCTTTCTAAATCCATTTACTGTCTTCTTACATGTTCAATCTTCAGCCTCTTCCTCTTTATGCTTCACATTTAATCCAGTTCAGGAGACAGTAATTTTACATTCTAAGTATCTTTATAGTCCATACACTTCTCTCTAACTGTGCAGCTACCACCATGGTCCACAATACTATCATCTGTGGTGTGGGCACTCACACCCACTCCTCACCATTTCCATTCTTGTCTCCTTCAAAGTATTCTTCATGCTACAGCCACAGTAATCTTTAAAAATGCAAATCTTCTCAATTTATTTCTTCTTCTTGCCCTGAAAGTCTTCAATGATTTTAAGTAGGTTAAAGAGTAAAATCTTTTGAAGCACTAAGAGAAAGATTTTAATACTGAAAACAGTAAAATATTGAAGAAAGTAATTGTAGATGCCACAAATAAACAAAATGGTCTCTGTCTTCCTAAATTGGAAGAATCAGAATTGCTAAAATTCTTAACATGTCTATACTTCCCAACCATCTACAAATTCAATGCAGTTCTTTTCAAAATTTCAATATTATTTCTCATGAAAAACATTTTAATTATTTATGTAACCATAAAATATTGCATGTATCCAAAGCAATCCTGAAGAAAAATAACAAAGCTGTAATCATTGTAATACCAGACTTCAATGTCTAGTATCAATTGACAGTAGCACAAACAGCCTGAGAGTAGCATAAAATACAGTTATATATTCAATACCCAGTAGTACCAAAAAAAAAAAATACAGTTATATTCACTATTGAATTCTGGGGTTTCCTTCCAGGCTGTTGTTGACCTGTTGTGTCACTTGGATTGAATGACTAAGGAACACTGAGATTTTCATTTCTTAAAGGTAAAAGAAAGGAGACAGGAAGGGAGAACAAGCGTGTTCTGAATAAGTGGAAAATGAGAGTATGTCGGGCCCACAGGGTGGGCCCAGCAAGAGAAAGAAGAGAATGGCCCTGAGGCCAATACTGCTCTTCTGATGTCAGATCCAGCATCCTATGCAGGGCTTGGAAGCTCTTCTGCACATGCTTCCTGGCCACTGTGACAGGTCTCCTGGACTGACAGATTGTCTTAGTTGCTTTGCTCACTGTTGAGACAGAATACCAGACACCCAAAGTGAAAGGAGGAAATGTTTATTATAGTTGACAGTTTGTAATAGTTTCAGTTCAGAGGTCACTGGCTCCAAGGCACAGTAACATGGCAGAGGGGCATCACAGAAGAGAAACAGTTCCTGGGGGGCAGAGGTCATCAAACCAGAAGGCAGCTAGTGCTAAGCAGCAAATGACAAGCAACCACAGCAGCCTTCTTCCTGTCCTTTATATTCTATCCAGGCTATACACCCTTAGGGTGGGGATCAGTCCTACCCAGGAGAGCCTTCCCATATTCCACAGCCAGAACTATGCTGAACCAATCAACTGTGCCAAACTAATTTAGTATTCAGTCACTCTTGATCCCTGCATCACACACTTATTCCCAGCATGACACACTCTAGATCCAGCCACCTCTGAAAGCCCCACCTATAACTGTTTGAGGCTTTGGGTGGACATCTAGATGGGAGCCATAAAACAAAACATGCCCAGATGCCCAGCTGTTTTGCCATGCTGTAATCTTCTGCCTTACACTGGCCCATCTTAGTTTAAGAGAGAGTGAGCCCAGAAATAAGCCCTCTCCCAAGATCAACTGAACTCTCACAAATTTCCATAAATACAGAGTAGAGAATGATATTGAAAACCTTTCTATTCAGAAGTAGAAGAATGAAATAGGATGCTTATCTGATACATTCAAAAATCACCTCAGAAACTTCATCACATAAAACCTTGTTCTGTGTAACTGTGAGAAGAGAACATAGGAGCATTACTCCTCTCATTGAGCTGGACAAAAACCTCGTGGATATGACTTCTAATCTCAGATAACAAAGCAAACAAACAAACATTCACACAAGAGTTCATTAAACTATTTTTTCCTGAGAAAAACAAAAACTGTAGAGAGTGAAGAAACAACTTGCAGACCGGGAGGAAGTATTTGTAATCCATATACTGATATGTGACTAACGTGGAAATATTTAAGGAACTGAAACAATTCAATATGGAGAACACAAATAATCCAGTCCAAGCGGACAGAGCACCTACATAGAAAGTTCTCAGAAGAAGATGTAAAGTGGCACTTAGATACATGGGAAACATTCTCATCACTGCCAGTCATCAGGAAATGTAAACTAAACCTGCAAGGAGACATCACCTGACATCTGTTAAGATGGCTACTATCAAAAAGATGAAAGGTGACAGTGTGGGTAAGGTGTGGAGTAAAATCACCCTTGGGCCCCATTCATGGGTTTGCATATTAGCACCACCATCAAGGGAAACAGCATGGAGGTCCCTCAAAAGAGTAACTATAGAGTTACTATGTAATGGAGGAATCCCGTCCCTTGTATCTACGGACCAGAATTAGTCTGCTGAAGGAATATCAGCTTTCTCTTCATGGATGCATTTTTAACGTAGCTAAGATATGGAAGCAACCTAGTTTTCTTCTTCAGATCTGGGGTAAAAAATATGTCTTGCTGCTGACACCAGCATCACAACTCCTGAGCTGGCCACACAGGCTGTGAGGTATCTGAATCCACACTGCTGAGCCACTAAGAGGCCATAAAGGGTGATGAGCTCCAGAAGTTAGAGCAGAAGGGAACAACAGAAAAGGCCTCTCTGAGGCTGCTCCTCAATGAAAATTGGAGCCTACTGGAAAAGTGAAGAAAATTTCTGCAATAAATGTACACTGGACCACCATGGCTGGTACGTTGGTGGGATCAACACCTCCCATAGAAACCCAGGGGAAGGACAGATAGATCCTGCAGTAGAATCTTGCAGAGTTCAGTCCTTCAAGAGGTCAGGGAGGTCAATTTGGGCCTTGCAGCCAGAAATCAGCCTGAATCCAAGTGAACTACAGCTGGTTTGCTGAGACTAATAGACTTAGATCTGCTCACTGTTGCCCACGTTGTCTACCGGGACAACATAGACGTACCCTGAAGAAGGCCTTTTTTTCATATATATATATTTTTTTTTTCTCTTTTTTCTTCTATTTTTTTCCTCTCCATTCTTTTTCTGCATTTCTCTCCCTCTTTGTTCCTGTCCTAGTTTGGATTTTTTCTCTCTCTTCCTTTCTATCAACTGTCACTAATCTTATAGGAAGATGAATAAAGTCTCTAGCTTCCCTATGGCTGTTACTTTGTTCTATTCTTGTCAATGTTCCTTTGCTCTTTCTCTTCCTCTTGCCTTCAAAAGTCTCCCAAAATTTGCATGATCTTTCTATGTCCTGTAGTCTCACTTCTAACCTTTTCCTCTCCTTCTATCTCTCTATCCATCCCTACCTAACCCTTTCTAAATCCTTATCCCAAAGGGTAAATTTGCTATATTGAAGTGTTTATTTACTACAAACATATTTGGGTTGAACATCAATTTGATCTAGTTCACATAGTTAAAGGTGACAGATTAATTGCTACCACAAATTGTCATTTTCTAGGCTGTGTTTGATGTCATTGTTTTTGCTGATTGTAGCAACTGGGCTAAGATGTCATGACTGATCTAATCAGTTGTCCTCTCTGTTATGCTGAAAATGAGATTGTATAAGAGTCATTAGAGACTTAAAGCCTAGAAAGACCAACTATACCTGGAAGATTTATCTGAGCAGCAATCACTACATAAGTGCTCTAAAAACAAGTAATAAAGATACTCACAATAAGCAATATTGAAGAAACAGCCCAGAAATTAAACCAAAAAACAGCACCACAAACAAAATTAGAAATTAGAAGACACTTAATCAAGGAACAAAACCAGACATCCACATCACCAAAGGCAAATTCTGGGGAAAATGAGGTGGAAAAATCTGATAATCAACCACCTGCACACCCTGAACTAATAGTAGAGGAAGTAACAATACAGATGAATGAGATTCTTGAGAAATTCAAGAGAAATAATTTCCCAGATAACTTCAGAGATGGTAAGCAGAATGAAAGACATGATTAGAAACTCTAGAAAGGAAACAGATAAAAAATAGATGATCTCAGGACCATGATGGAAGCCATAAATGCCCAGCATAGGAAAGAAATGGAAACCATGAACTCCCAACTTAGGAAAGAAATGGAATCCATGAAACAGATTCAAATAGATATCCAGAAGATTAATTACTCCACTTAAAGTGGATTGAGTGAATGTGAAAATAGAATATCAGACATAAAAGATAGGATTGTGGTTAGTGACCATGAAAAGAGAGATTTCTTAAAAATAGTAATGGACCATGAGAAATCAATCCCCAGCTGGCCTCTTTCTGTGCCCCATGGGTGACTGACCCCCACTCCAGGGTGTCTCTTAGGGACAAAATTCAGGGCAGGGCACTGCCAGTGCTGGGCTTCCCAGGCCCCATCCATCTGTAGCTCAGCCCTCATGAATCTCTCTGTTCTTCTGTCTGTCTGCCTCTTCACTTCCAAGGGCTACCAGGATGGAAAGGCCTGGAAAGTGAGGAAAGTTACAGCCCTGAGAACCCTGAGAAATTTTATTTGTTCAAACACATAACACATTCATTGCTGGATATCTCCAAAGAGAATTGCTAATTGTCCAGGACCACAAAAAGAATAAGAGAGAGTGGCAGAGCCTAGAAGAACAGTGAAGGTTTGGAATTTACTTAAAGTCAGGATCAAGTCTGAGTCACTTTGGGCAGCATTTGTTTTTTGGGTTTTGTTTTTTTGGTACTGGGGATCAAACTTGGGAACTTGTGCTTTGGGGCAGGCATTGGAACCACTGGGCTAAATGCCCAGGGCCATGGGCAGCATTTGTGACTGGCATTCATCTCTCTGAGAGCCAGGTTTCCTCATCTGAATACAGAGTGATATTGGAACGTGCACAGTGGGGTTGTGATGGTGTGGACTGGGGAGGTAACTGAGTCCCCAGCTTCTTTGATTCACAGTGGTGGGATGTAGGGAGGGGAGCTGTGGCTATCCTCAGATTAAAGGAGAGAGAGAAGAGCAGAGGACTGAAAGGGGCCAGGAAGGTGAGGGTCTGGCCTTCGGCACTGGGCTGAGGTCCTTTGTTGGTTGGGGTGGTGTCAGTCTGATTGGCTTGTGACTCCAGGATCTGGGTGGAGCAACTGCATACAGGTGGCCTTGGGGTCCACCTCTGGCCCCTCAGCCCTTCCTGTCTGCACAGTTCCCTCACTGCTTCTCAGTTTCCAGTAGTCAGCAGTGGGGTCGACAATGCCCTCCTTCAGGAAGGTTTTGCTTTGGAGCCAGCAAACTTTTAAGTCATGGGTGTAGGTGTTGTGATGGGAAAGCTAATAACAGAAGCCACCCAAGATGTAGACTGAACACTTGTTTATAGTCTAAACTCAATGCATGCTTTGCTGTTTTAATGGCTGTATCACGAGCTCTCATGGTGGAGACAGTGTCGGGGCTCGGGTGGGTAACATAGGTAGCAACTTGGTCTGGCAGAGGTGAGCATGAAGTGAGAGCAAATTCTGTGAGTCCTGGTGAGCCACGCTGGCTGGACTCACTGCTGGCCTACAGCTCCTTTTTGGAGTGGGGCTCTCTCGCATCCCTGGGTTCCTGTCCCTCAACCAAGCCCACAGCCGCCTGGATGCTTTTGGCTGCCCTGAGTCCAGACTTGATGGCCATGTCAATCCAGCTGTTGGGGAGGGCCATGTGCTCCCCTTTGAAGTACACCTGCCCTTCTGGCTGGCTGAGGTCCTTGGCATAGTCCACTAATTGGTAGGGGGTGAAGAAGGTGAAGCCACCCATGGAGTGGGGCTCATGGCCCCAGTTCTTGACAAAGGAGTAGGGGCACAAGGCCCAGAGCTCCTCCTTGGGGAAGTTGTGGATGCTGGCCAGGTCGTCCAGCACTATGTCCACCACCCACATGTGGTCCCTGGCTGAGAAGAAGCGGGTGTTGTCATCCAGGGTGTAGGAGGCCAGAATGACCCCGGTGCCACTAGGGAAGACATGCTTGGGGTAGTAGATGAAGTGGGACGGTGAATCGGTGATGGACCTGCCTCTGTGGATGCCATCGTGCTCGGAGAAGGGCTGAGTGCAGGCCAGGATCACCTCGGTGGTGCTCATGTACTGAACCAAGTGCAGCACATCCTCCTTGCTGCCAGACAGGAGTGGCCAGAAGCTGAGGGGCAGGATGGCCCTGGCAGGAGTGGCCATGACCATGAAGTCAGTGGTCAGGTGCGCCCTGGGCCACAGGGAGTCAGGTGTCCTGTAGGTGACCTTGGACATGGTTCCCAACTGTCTCCACCTCCTCTGCCGGTGAGTGCAGCTGCACTGTGCCCGGCTGAAAGGCCTAGGGCAGGGCCTGGGGCAGCTGGTCAAAGCCCCCAATGATCTCATGTGACCTGAGGTGGGAGGGAGGCAGAGGGAAGTAGTTGGAGAGGAGGTGGGAGGAGCCTGGGTCCCCAAGCCTGCAGATCAGAGAGTGGTCAGACGTGGTGATGCCCAGACAGGAAGGGCTGGTCCAGCAGAGAAGTGCAGCCACATAGTGCCTGCCCAACCTCCACTCTCGGGCCAAGGCTGGCAGAGACCCAGGACTCAGCTTTTGCCCTTCAGCACACAGCCAGGGCCCCAAATGCAGTGTGGACACCCCGAGACCCCTCATTCTCTTAAGACTTTCTGTGGTCCCTCTTTCCTATGGCAGTGCTTGGCTTGAATTTCAGTGGATTCACCCTGAACCTCAAGGCTGAGAAGTGGGAGGGGTGTGGAGGAGCCTGGGTGCCTCAGTGTCCCCCTAGGGGCTCCCTGGCTCAGGCGCCCTGGGCCTCAGGAGGTCTGGGGCCTGTTGAGTCTCAGAGTTGATGGGTTCATCTGCACAGATCCTCTGGGGCCAGCAACCAAGGTGGGGCATGCTCTGGATCAGCACCTCTGGCACATTTACCTGAACTTAAAGCTGGCAAGAGCCCCGGTGTGGAGCCCTGGCTCAGCGGAGGTCGCAGTGTGCATCACAGGAGGACAGAATCTCTGGCTCCTGATTTCACAGTGGGGTTCTGACAGGTGCTACTGGGACACACTGCAGGGCGAGTTCTCAGGTCCTGGCTCTGGGGGTGCCGACCCCATCCCAAGAGTTCAGAAATCTCTGCCCGCTGCCTCCCTGGCTCCCATTCCTTTAGGGATGTTCACCTGGTTTATTTCTTCCTTCTTCAAAGTGGAATGGAAGAAATAAAGATAGGTAGAAAAGAGACAAGGAAATTGGGATTTTGGTATGGTTTTTTAGACATGGATGTAGCTCAGACTGGCCTTGAACTCATGGTGATCCTCCTGCCTCAGCCTCACAAGTGCTGGGGATGAAAAGTGTGTGCGACAACAACGGGTGGAAATTGGAATTTTAAAACTGCAGTTTTTCTTAGATTCTTTTATTGGTACATTTTAGGTATACAGTACATTTACATTTATCATTGGGATCTTGTACCTGTACATGATGGATCTTGGTTCTTATTTTTTTCCCATTTGCTGTCTTCCTTTCACCTCCTCCACCCCTCCCTATTTACAAAGACTTTGTTTCCATTTTTTTCCTTTTCTCATAATTTTTCCCTTCCCTTCTTTCCTTTCTCCTACCCTTCCAAATTCCCCTACCCTTTGGACATCTTATTCCTATTTCCCATTATCAGTTATTCATTTTAATCCTTATTTACATTTTCAGTTTCTCACACTAGAGAAACTATTCGGTATTTACACATGTGTCCTATTTATTTCACTTAAGAGTATGTCCTCAATATGCATCCATTTAGCTATAAATGTCTCTAGTTTCTCATTTTTTATAGCTGAATAGTCAACTGGAAACTGGATAAAACTGCACTTGTAAGAAAATCTTCAGCTTCAGTACACAAGTTACTCAAGCCCTTTCCTTCCAGGAAACTCACTTGGAAAAAATTCCTAAGGGAATTTGCAAGGCATGGTGAGCCTGTAAAGTGGGCTCTTGGCCTGTGCACTTCCCATGAGCCGCACTTCCTGCCCCATCCCCCAGAGGAAACAGTGGTGTTACTGGGCCTCAGATCTCAGTGTGAAACCCAGGGAGTCCGCACTGTAAGAGCCCCATGGGTGGCCGGACTGGTAGCAGGACACACACCCTAAGGCCTCATCTGGGCATCACCGCAGCCCCTGAAACACACGCAGCTCCAGACCGCAGGGCCCCTGTGAGGCACAGTCTGCTGCTTCATGTAGCTTTCAGTTTGTGCCCAGTGAATCCCTTCCTGTCTGTCTGATGTCCTGAAAACCTTCTCTGTGGTTGTCAGTGGCCTTCTGCTTCAGGCTGTAGGGGCAGTTGTACAGACCCCTCCTTCCTCCAGGAAGCTGTTTGTCCAGTCCTCCCCAGGAGCCAAGACCTCTGCCCCTGCCCACTCCCACCCGACTCCCCACCATGGTTCATGGAAGAAGATGAAGCCACACAGCTTTTCCTTGAAGGCCTCATAGTAGCCTGAATCTCCGTTCAACAGGTTCCAAATCATCTGCACGGCCCCACAGCTCAGGTTCGCCACTTTGAGCAGGAACTCCTGGGATGCAAAGAGGAGGCCAGAGTCACACAGTGGGGCAGCCCCAAGAGGCCCGCCCTGCTACCCACCCGGGCTGTGGCTCCCGGGCGCCCACACTTGGGGCTCGGCTGGGCACGGGCGAATGCTCAGTCCCGGTGAGGGAAAGCAGCAGAAGAGGAGCCCCCGAAGGCCTTTCTCTTGTGTGCCCTCCTTAGTGTTAACTCCTGTGGGAAGTGAGTGCACCTCGGGCTGCCCTGAGAGCCTAAACCAGATATGGGAGCTGCAGTGTCTCAGGGTTAAAGAAACCCGATGCATACACAAATGAAAGAGCAAAATAAAAGATGGAAGATGGGAAACGGAGGAAAGAAGAGATGGAGGGGGCAGGGGATGGGAAGAGTGGAAGTGTGTCAGGCACGCGCACCAACTCCACACTGTGAATGTGATCGTACTAAACAATGATAAGAAAAGATGGAGCTAAGTCCAGATCTTCATGCTCATCTGCAGGACAGCTTGGCTTCTTGCCCAGGACCCAGGGCCGGGGGAGTCTGAGTGGCGAGTGTCCCTTCTCTCCCTCCCTGCTGCCTGCTGACCTATCGTGTCTGTCCGCAGGGACTCCCAGGTCCTAAGGCCCCTGCCCGTCCAGGGAGCCCATAGTGGCCGCAGCCGGGCTGTGCTGTGCCTCATCACCAGGGGAGGGGCCTGAAGGAGCTGGGTGCTGGCCTCTACAGCATTGGAGTCAAGAGCGATGCCCTCAGGGCACCAAGTCCCAGTCAGAGCAGTGACCCTCAAGAAGGGCCAGGAAGCTCTGCTCTGGGGACACCTGTACTCCAGCTCTCGGGGAGGCTGAGACAGGAGGACCGTGAGTTTGAATCCAGCCAAGGCAACTTAACAATCTAGTGAGACCCTGTCTCAAAATAAACAAAGAAAAAGGGCTGGGGATGTGGCCCAGTGTGAAGGCCCTGGGTCCCAGCAGTGCCTAAAGGAAAGTGGGTGGGGAGAGCAGTGCCAGACTTTAACATAAAGGGTCAGGAGGCAGAGGCAGACAGCTCCCAGTGGGGTGCGTGTTCCAGGGATTTGGGGACCCAGGGCCCTGGAGATCTCTGGTCATCTTACTTCCACAGTCCCCCTGTCACCTTTGTCCCCTTCCCTTCTGGACCTGAGTGCACAGTGACCATCCACATGCAAACACAGTCCCTGGGCCCAACCTCTGATGTAACAACAAAGGGGAAACTGCAACCTCTGCCAATCTGGGTTTGCTCAAAACCAATGCTTCTGCTTCTCATGCCCTGCCCCACCCCGCTTCCTTCTCAGGACCACAACAGAGACAAACTCACTTCCAGGTGACCTTATGGCTCCCTCTAGGGCCCACTGCAGGCAGGCATGGTGGACCCCTCCCTGCAGTGTCCTTTGTGTGTTGTGGTGCTGGGGCACATGCCCAGCCAGTGCTGTGCCTCCTGGCTCTGTGAGGATGTCCCATCAGCCAAGGCCATGCACCTGTGACCATGGTCCCAGGATAGAACACAGTCTTTACCTTAACCCACCTGCCAGTGCTCTCCTTCCAGCAGGGCTTCCTGGTGTAAGTCAGGACTTCTGCACAGTGAGGAGGCATGGGCGGGCAGGCACGCTGCTCTGATGTGACCCCTCCTTCCATGCTGCAGTGCTGCATGAGGCTTTCTTCCCACACCTCTGCCTACCTTGGACCCTCTGCCAATGCAGACTGGTTCCCCGGGGTACCGCACTGAGCAAGCGGTGTCCAGGTCAGGGCCAGCCTTAGGGATAGGGTTAGAACTTTCATTTAGCTGAGGAAGCAGAGTGCAGAAGATCTCTGAGTGGTGGGCATGGTCCTGCTGGGGTGGTCACCAGGGGCTGCGAAAGAGCCACTCAGGTGACTGACCTTGGTGGAGAAGGAGTTCTATTTCTCCAGCACGCAGGGGCAGCTACTGCTGTTCAGCTCCTCTTGACCTGGGCATGGGAGGAGGAGGGAGGTCATGCGCAGAGGCTCCAGCCTGTACACCACACTGTGTTGGCCTTGCTTCCACCTGTGTGGGAGCCAGGCTCTGGTGGCCCAGTCCCCACAGTGCCCAAAGGACAAAGGTGCCTTGGATGGGGGAGTTGCCACCTCTGCTCTCAGGCTCACCGCCAGCTCTCCTGCCACCCCAGAGGTCTCAGAAGGGACATGATGCCCTGTCCTGCCTTGAGGAGAGTTTTCTTTTGACCCAAGAGCCTTTAGGTTTAATGAGTATTTTATGTCTTATTTATAATGAACAGGGAATATAGAGTGTGGAGAAACTATAAAAATCACAAAATGCAACATCTTTTAACCAAATAGGTATCACAAAAAATACAATATTTAGGTAAAAATAATGAAATTGGTGGACAATCTACCACTGCTTGGATTAAACACTGATCTGGAAAGTTATCATGAAGGACAGTTTGGAGGGAGATGGGATATGGAATGAATTGGGTGATAGAAATCATGTCACTAATTTTATTTTTGGTACCAGGGATCAAATTCAGGACCTTCAGGTTGCAAGGCAGGAGGTGAAACTAGTGAGCTAAATCCCTGGCCCAGCTTTGTGCTTTTAGAAACTAAATGTCTGCACATAGCAGTGGTATCATGCACTAGCTTTCTTTCTGTTGTCTGGCTTATTTCACTTCCTATGGTGTCCTCTGGGTAATCTATATTATGGCAAGTGGCAAGACCTTCTGTAAGGCCAAATAATCCATGACACATACACATATGTATGTATGGAAGGA